ATACATACATACATACATACATACATACATACATACATACATACATATACATATATATATGTATATATATGATTTCTTTTGTTTTGCGGACCGTCATTCCAGGATCATTGGTGACATTGAGTCGAATATTTATTTTTTGTTTCGCAGAGTTGATTTCCTCTTTTATGTTTGGGTGGCTGGTCCACTGAGGCGATCGTTCCAAGCGAGGATCAACCTCCTTTAGCGCTGCTTGGCAGACCACAATGGGCAACCTTTTCAAACATGAATCATAATTTTCCCATAGGCCCAATCACAGATGTCATGTGGATGCCATCTTCATGCTGCATCAGGCAAGTGTAGAACCATCAAGGCCGTGGATTGTTTGGGGTCGCTGTTTTGGAGAACCCAACCAACCTTTGGAGATTTCTGCGACGCCCACTGCACACCAAAAGGGCATCCGCTGAAAACCATGGGACGATGGAAGTAATTATGTAGAATACAGAGGTTCGTACGGAGAATATCAGGGACCTGGAAATATTGAATATTCCTCCATGAGGGGATCGGAGTATGGCATGGAGAGTATTTGCTTTTTCCCCCTTTCGCTTCGTCGTGTTGGATGGCGGGCTGCTCCAAATGAGGCTGCCAGGGCAGCCGGGACAGGACAGCTCAGCGGAGGATCTCTCTGCAGACGGCGCAGGTTTGGAGTTGGGTCAACCGGGGATCAATCGATCTTTGAGGTCCAGCTCGGCGCACTAAACTGATTGATTATCTATAGACTGAGAAGGCTACGGCCAGAAACTTAAGGCACGGATCAAGTACCAAAACCCACACCCGATCCATACCCTGATCCAAAGGGTGTGGATCAACATCACTTAGTTGACCCACACCCTTTGGATCAAATTCAGGCTTGGGTTGGTGAAGGCCTCACATGGTTGATTCTGTACAAGGGGGCCATCACAATGACTTAGTGGGAGCTGTTTGCTGTGGAAGGGGCCCTTGAAAACGAGGTTAGTGGAGTCCGGAAACCTCACCCCTTAAGATTTCTCTTACAGAACCCCTCACAAGTGGAGGCCAGAAACTTCACTCTTCAAGGCTTGCCCCCGCACAACCTCTCACCGCCCAGAGTGAACTTAGTGCCAACTCCTTTCTGTGGGGCTTGACCAGCCAACTCCCCAAAGTGAAAACAGTGGAGGCCAGAAACTTCAGCCCGTAAGGTTGCCGCAACCAGGATTGATAGCCAGAAGCCACCGCCCAAAATGAGCAAAGTGGCCGCCAGACACTTCATTTTGGAGGGGTTGCTATGGAAGCCCACAGGCTTGGATGTCAAGTGTAAGAGAAGAGGAACACAGTTTAGCTGCAGCCATTAACTTAGATGCGGAAGCAATGCTAAAAGACCCCAAAAGAAGAGGACAGCAGACATTGTGAACATTCAACAGAACTCTGAGGTGTTTTTGGTTTGTTATGGCACTCAAGCCAGTTTTCATGATGGTGCTATAGCCTATAGCAATGGTAAAATGGTCGATATGTCGATAAGTGCCTTTGGAGAGTGCGGCAGCCGCCGGATGTTTCCCTTGTTTGTTTCGCACCCTTGTTGAAGTTTCAAGGTTCATTTGCCCGCTTGTAAAGAACAGAGGAACTGAAGGAAGCAAATTCAGAAAGATTGAAAGGCTTCGGTATGAAAGATCGGTGTTTTAAGGTTGAAGGGTGTTCAAGTGAGAATGGCCACCACTCCTGGCCGCCTGATGGCTGTCCACCCACACATCAGCGGGAGGGGATCTCGGCAATGTGCTCAGTAGCAGGTCTCGATCTGAAGGTGGCAGAGTCTTTAGCACAGCATGCTCGAGAGCACTCGAGACGCTTGTCAGGCAGTGTGTGATGTTTTTTTTTCCCAGGCCATGAACCAGAGAGAATCAGTGTTTCTGGTCCGTATCTGGCGAGCTGTGGGTGTAGATCTAACTGTGTATGGCGTTGATCCACTCACATACAGCCCAGACCTCCGGGACAACAGATGTTGAAAGCCTGGAGGAAAAGCAGACCTCAAAACCACTCGAGGCACGTAGAAAGATTTGGTGTCCAAATGGCCTCACCTAACTTCACCGTCCACTCCGTTCTCAGGAACTGACCACGGACTCTTGGAGCAATGGGGGGGTTCCGGACGCCCAAGTGGGATGCGGAAGGATTTGCTTATATATATATGGTATATATATATGGTATATATATATATATCAGTTTGTTTTGATACCTTCGGCAATTGCTGAGATTGTGCCATTTGAGAGCCGGCCGTTGTCCAAGTGGTTTTCAGGAAACACTTTGATCGGGCGAAACCGTGACATCCGTTCTCATTGGCTTCAGAACCATTTCATCATGTTTTGCCTTTAGGCAGTCTGGGTTAGTTGGGGTTAGTTTGCGAAACTAAGGGATTCGACATTGATTCCGCATGCTGCAGACCTGGCTGCGCAGGGTTGCAGAAAAATATGTCCTTCAAGATCTTTGGGTGTTACAGCAAAAGGCGGTGGGTCGAGTTTGTGCTCCGCCTGAGGATCCACCACGAATGCTGGGATGGTTGCAGAGACTTTGTCACAGCATGTCCTAACCAGCAAGGCGGAGGATCCCAAAGGATCAGGTGCCATGGGGGCTGGGTGTGAGAAGTTTTGAGTGAGTTGTCCCACTACAGAGAATTTATGGGGCCAATGTGAGTTTGGATTTTCGATGACAAGATGTTACAAGTTACACATGATATACTGCAACAGCAGGTACACTCAGAGCTTCTTCCAATGTATGTTTGCCACTATCGTCATCAAATGCGAGGGTCGGTCAGTGTGTTAGGGCTTCAGTTCGCGTTCGCCGACATGTCACTCGTCGTTCTCGAGGCACTTCGCCCATGGGCACGGCTGACCAGACGAGCACCTTGGGTTTTGTAGGATGGACTTGTTTGGATCTGTTTGTTTGGTCATTCAGCGGTGTCACTAGATGAAGATGTATAATTCATGATGTATATACATATATATATATAGCAAGATCATCTTCAAGAAACTAGAGCTTAGGACAAACCGAAACCCATGCCACGTTTTCCCATGTTTTCTCTATTGACTGGTGGATTCATCCCAGACTCCGCAATACTATAGCAGGATGGAGAAGGATGGATTTGCTTTTTGTCGAGGCCTCCCACCTCCTCCAAAGGAGACAGGTGGTGCGGACGAGGCGGGGGGACAAAGCAACAGAGCAACATCCTTTTTCATCCTGTCGTGGGGCAGCCCTTTTTTTTAAACATTTGTCCAGTGGTTTAGGGAAGCCGTGAAGCCGTAAAGCCCTTGGTTCAGCAGCCTTCGACCCTTGGTTCCACTAGTCACGTGACCCTTCAGTTGCCCAGACCGGTGACCCTGCAGGGCTCCGCAAATCTTTCTGCAGATGCAGATCCCTGGCTGCGAGATAGAGATGTGGGTGGGCACATCCAGGCTACCCAACAGTTCATCCCTTAGTAGTAAACATGCTATTCCTGCAGTACGTGCCAGTGTGGTGCAAAAAAATGTAAACGTATATTGTTGTATATAGTATATAGTGTTAGTTATAGTGTTATATATATAGTACGATATAGTACTCAGTGCAGTCGAAGTTTGGCTCGTTCCAGTTGGTCATGTATAGGTCAGTTCAGCAGGGTTTGAGGTTTCAGAATTGCTTTTTCTTCTTTTTTTTTCAGGACTCGAGAGCAGTTGGCCGTTGGCCGGTCTGGAAGCTTTACCCTGCAATGAAGACCCCTTTCCGGTTGTGCTGAGGTGACTGGTTGAACCTGCCCCATACTACAAGAACCATAAAGACTCAGAAAGTACAAGTACCGGTCATAAGAATATCGATCCTGTCCTCACTCGGCCAACTGCTTGTGCACAGATGGCATGTCAAGGAAGTTGTTTCATCTCACAACACCCAACCATGCGACCAGTCACTTTCATTCTTAGTTTTGGCTTCATCACATCGGTCTCTGATGCTTTTGCCAGCTAAGCTTCTCCGACGCCCGGAACGGGCGTGACTGGATGGCGTCTCCCGGGCATCGAGATCATCGAGACGCCCAGGGCATGTCCCTCGAGGATGACGTGAGAGAGAAATTGCCAATGAGATCTGCAGACCCTGGAAGGATGGTTGGAGTTGCATGAGCAAAAAAGTCCAGTTCTTGAACCATCGACATCATCATACATCATCATACATCATCCATTTTCATCCATTGCCCGCTGACCCGTCCAACAATTATTGACCTTTCTGTAAGATCAAACATGTTTTTGCACATGTTGGGGAAAGAAACTCAACGGGAGTCTCAACGGCGGTTGCACGTTGGAAAAGCACAAAGATCAACTGCACTAAGGGGTGAATCGAATGGTTTTCCATGTTCAATGATCATGATCTTCCCTATGGGAGGCCGCTGTTCACTGGACATGTTCAATCATTTTCACACGTTCACCTTCTTCACGAGATGGCTTTGGCCAGGCAGGCAGAGGAGCGAGACCCTAAGGACCAAGGACCTTTCGTGAGGCGGGCTGGCAGTGGCCGGTTCAAAGGTGGGAGGCCGAGGCCGTCGGTTTGGTCGGCCGTCGCCGTCGGCCGTGGGAGAAATCAAGAAGGTGGTCACGTGATGGGCGGTCATGCACCATGTCCAAAATCTACCCTCCCACAAACGATCCCATGGAAGCTCAGAATTGACCGGTGGTTTCGACCATTTTCCTCTATCACCCAGTGGTTTTGGGGTTCCATGTGAACCTGCAGGGTGCGTCGGGATGCGTCGGGAGACGCCTCGGCACGAGGCTCTTGCGGAAGATCCTGAACAACATCCACGTTGTTTGGGGCCTTGGGCAGACCTCGGGACCACGGAGCCATGGTTTTCTTTGGGTGGGATAGGCGATCGTTAGATCGTTGAAGCAGGGACCCCAGGCATGTGTTCAAAGTTCATGAGCAAATGGGTGGCCATGTTAGCAACTGTGAGGCCAAATCCGACCAGCGGAAAAACTCTTGCCACAGTTCCAGTTCAAATCCGATGCCTCACACCGACGACAGATTTTCATTTGGTGCAGGAGTGAAGGCTCAATCCCTATACCCGGTCACCCAGTCCTCTCAGTTTTGCCCATGGAGCGTGTGAAGCGCATCGCGGCCCATGTTGACGCCGGCCTGCCTCTCGTGGCCGAGCCCACCTCGGCGCCGTTGCCCGTCATGGAGAACATGAAGACGAAGATTGCGGCCTTAGCAGGGGAGAAGTCGGCCTTCAAGAATTTCCTACTGAAGTACCACGGGGAATCTCGACCGCCTTTGTCGGTTTGCTTGGGCGGTTTGCTTGGGCTTTCAGCAGTGCAGGAATGGACACACTATGGACACACTGGTTCTGTAGGGTTTTAACATCATGCGCTGGTGCAGAGTTGGCCCTGGTACGGTTCAAGTTCGGTGCCGTGGCCGTTCATGGTCACCCCTTCTTCCGGGTGCAGGGAAGACACGGGTGGCGATTGCATGTGAGTAGCGCCCACGACCTACCACTGTTTCCCCAAGAGCCTCGGATATTTGAGGTGATTGGCTCGTAGGTCGCCATGCTAGAAGCACAACCAATCACAACCATGTTGACATCTTCAATCAACTGAACAAATATATGAAGCTCTAAGTCATGTGCTCTAACATGTTTTAAGTCCCAGGTTGCACAGGTTGATAGCATTTCATTGTCAATTGTTGGTTTATGCCTGATGCGAAATGATATTCTTCCGCACCACGTGCTTGCCCGTGTAGACATGTCAGAATAGCTGGACACTGGCTTTCTTGATGACCAAGCTTCCACAATAATGTTCACGGATTTCACCTTTTCACATAGGGCAAGTGGAACAAGAACTTCTGGAAGACTATGCGGCTTGGCATGGTTCATAGGCTTCATATTTAATGCCGGTCCTTTTCAAAGTACAAGTTCCAAAAAACACACCAAAAAACTCTGCAACTCGCCAGACTTTGACACGGAACCAAAAGCTCAAGGACATCATTGGGTTTGTGCCATCTACTCTCAAAGCACTGTAAGCCTCAACTCCAAAACAGCCTCTTCTTGGCCGTGCTTTTGACTGGTGCGTACCGTGGCCTTCCAAGGAGCGCAAGATCCAGGGCCTCACAGTGGAGATGGCCATCAACGGCGCTCGGGCAGTGAAGTCGATGGTCACAGAGACGTCGGACCTGGATGCGAACTTGGGCATCGTCCCTCGGCGTTTCGAAGTGGAGTTGACCGGTGACCGTCCACCCCACCCCTTGGTGGGTTGCTGAGTGACGGTGACCAGGAGTGAGGGCGGAGTGGGTTTGGGCGACCACGCAGGACCACAGACCTGCTTGCCCAAACGGACCGGTATAAAAACCATGTGGTGGTCGCCTTGCCGGGGGGGGGGCGGAGTGAGGGCGGAGTGGGTGTGGATGGGTTGACATGTGGGTGGATGGGTTGCTCTCTTTTGTTCTGGATGGGAAGGGATGCAGGGATTGGGAGGAAGAGGTCATTTGTTTTTTTTTGGAGGGGGTTCTGTTCTTGTCCTGGTCAATTCAATAATGGTTTGTCCTGTGGGTTCTTGTGATGCATTGGTTTGGGCATGGGGTAGGAGGACAGGGTTTTCCTGTGATTTTGTAGGGCTTCGCCGGGCATGGTGAGCAACATGTGTTTATGTTTACTGCCTGCAATTCATTTGACTTGACTGAATGCGTCTATGTGCAAAGTAATTAGTGTGTAGCACGCATATTAATTTAATAGAGACATGCACCGTGAGACCAACCCCTCCTCTGGCAGGCCTACCGGCACCTCTCCTTGTACGATGTCAACAAGGATCTTCCTAAAGCACCAGGCACAAAATGTTGGACGCCACAGGGGCGTGGAAGACTCTCACGGAAACCATCCGAAAACCAAAACCTTCTCAAGCTGTCAGCCTTGAGGATGACCACTTGAGGTTACTCAAAGAATCAACCGGACGGAGCACATTCCAGAATAAAAATAATGAAGCAATACGTTGTACATGTGGATACGTTGGGTGCATGGCGCAGCCACCAACAAATTGAACTACAGGTGATAGGCATAGACTAGAAGTATGATGCAAGTCCTCTTGTTTTCTCTATACAGTGGTTTCAGAGTAGATGGCACAATCCCCTGAAGCGGTTTACATTCACCCCTTATTTTCATGATAACGAATCTAGTTGGATGACCCCCACAAGCCTTGAGAATGGCCACGTGCATCTCCGACCTGTGACGACAGAGCTCTTCTCTCAGGTGGAAATGTGGCATTGCCGGAAGGTGCATTTTGGTTGTTGGTGACTGGGCCTATCCACTTCAGCTCTCGTATTGGACAAGTGCAGTGCAAGTGTGAAGAAACGCATTGGACAGAAGAAACTCCAGAATCAAAGCAGCAAACAATCTTGGAAGCTCTGGAGCGAAGTGAGCAACAGCGTCCAAGACAAGAACACTTGGTCTGGAAGATTCCAGATGAAACGCCATCATTGGTTTTGAGTTGTTTTGTTCAATCACGCGTGTACACGGACCCAACTCAGTTCACATCCCAACTGTCCACCGACTTTCGTTCGAGGCTTTTTCGATCTCACCCGTACCCCTAAGGTCACAGGTGAGGAGCCCAGTGAGGAGGAAGTGCATGGACTCACCGAGGAGCTCCACAAGCGCCATGAGGTGCCGAAGAACGTTTTGGAGACCCGGCACAAGCAAGGATTGCTCAGGTGGTGCCAGATACAACCCCTTGCACACGAACATGGGCCCTGACAATTGATCCGTTTTCAGACCATGTTGCTCTACAACCCAATGGTTTTGGGGATCATGCATGTTAATTTGCAGGAGGCAGGGTACCTCTCAAGTGGCGGAAACGAAAAAGTGGTAGAAAAGTATTGTTCCTCCGTGTTGTTTCACTAGAGCACATGTTCCCTTACCGTTGCACAGTCCATTCCGCCTTGCCACCACCGGACGTCGAGTTCTTTGGCCCTGGGGGCGCATCCCCACAACCATGACACCCACGGAACATCCCCAAAACCATGACCGGCAGTTTCTGCATTGCGGGCCGCGTGGGCTGGACCGCGTGGGAGCGAAGCTGCATGTGTCCCATGCGCCGGCTGAGGACACGCTCGACACCCTGCCGTTGGACACCCACCCGATGACACAGCTCAGTGTGGCCATGTTGGCCTTGCAGAAGGACTCCAAGTTCAATCAGCAGTATCAGGAGGGCATGAAGAAGGATCAGTACTGGGCACCTTGGTGTCACTAGAGTTGCCACAGCGGGAGGAGTTAGCTGGGTTCAGAACATCTCAGAACCATGTGCGGAGTTTGTTCCTGGTCGGTGCTTCAAAGTACATTGGCCTGGCAATTTTGCAATTTCATGTCCATGGTAGGTCCATGTCCCCCAGGCACATCCCAGGCAGTTTTCAAACTGCAATCATTTGCCCCATGCATGGCCCCAGAAGTGGTTGAGTGTTGCACACAGTTCGGATCTGCTCCTCCAAAGACGCCCTGCATGTTTGCAGAGCAACAGAATGTAACAGAGTCTTTGAAGGAAATATCTTCCACCTCCATGTGTGCTGGTAGTGTGCCATGAGTTCTTCCATGAACCTACCACGAAAACAAGCCATGGACAGCTTGGCACACCAGGTCTATGCGTTGGAGGATGCCTTGGACATCATTGCGAAGATCCCCACGATCGCGGCCAAGATCTACCGTAGAACTTTTCAGGATTTGCCTGGGATGAGGGGGGAGGTCGCCATACCCAGGCAATACCATGTGCCACCCGGTGTCACCCCCCAGAAAAAGAAGACCTGCAGGACGGAGTGGTGCCTGCGTATGACACCAACTTGGACTGGGCAGCCAACTTTGCCCAGATGCTTGGGGTGAATCAGGACGCTGGATTCAAAGAAGCCGTCCGTGCCTGGGCTTCAGCGGCGGGTTTCTTTCGACGCCGAGCTCACTTTCGACCACTTGGTTAGAACAGCTGCATCCACAGTTTTGGCCCATTTGTTCGGTGTTATGTCTTAAACATTCTCATTCTCATGCATTTTCCTTATACATTCCAGCCACATAACATAAGTGTTCAGGGGTTGAAATCCAAGCAGCTTCCCCCACTTTGCATGCTTATTTTGTTTGCGCATTGCTGCTTAATGCGGCTCAGGCTTGTATTTGATGCTTCATGCGGATCATGAGGGAGGAAACGTCTCAGCACATGCCACGCATTTGGTGGGTTCTGCCTTGAGCGATCCCTACTATGCCTGGGCCGCAGGGCTTTGTGGTCTTGCAGGCCCGCGTGAGTCGCAAGAGACGTTTCTGCGCGGCCACGCGTGCAACTTGCGACCACACATGGCAAGGCAATAGGCATTTGAGCAAGCATGGATTTGCACGAGGCTTGTGAACAAGGACATGACTTGAGAAACAATACACTTGTTGACTTCATTCAAGCTGTGCACATATGTATATATAATATATATATATATTTATTTATTTATGAATGGTGATGTATTTTAACTATGTGCATACTACTACACATGTCCACATGATTTGCCGCATTCGAAAGGAAATGAGTCGGTGTGGGGGTTCAAGTTCACCCTATACAATACAATGCAATGCATTGCTATCCATTGCTTTGCTCAATGGCAATCCAACGGATACCCTGGCAGGCCCCCTGCACGGCTTGGCCAATCAGGAGTGCTTGTCCTGGCTATTAGATGTGCAGAAGCAGCTGGGTCACGTGGCCTCATTGGGGAGCCTTGAGAGAGAGTCTAAGGTTGTTCCATCAAAACACCTTTCGTAAATCAAGACACACCAACTCATGAGACGGGTGTCATCGACATTGCAAGTAGTGTATCTCACAAACCGACTGCGGCCGCCATCAGTGTACATGATGTCATTGCAAACTGACCAGCGAGCTTGCTTGTTCTGTGACGTTGCGGTTGAGACTGCTTCGGGTGTTTTTCTTTTATCCTCACGACTTTAACAAATACAGTTCTACGGAAAAAGTCAGCCCCACCCCCAAGCCAACAGTTCCACCCCTCATCCTAAAGGCGCCATCATTTTGCAGATGTATTGTACAATGCCAAAGGTTGACGCAACCAATTCTGCCAAGAAACACCTCAAACTCCCCCAAAACGTGGTTCCTGTCCAGGTATGTTCTATTTTGATGGGAGGAGACCACGCTAGGACTGCTCGTCCTTTGAGGTGATCAGAGGCCCACAAAGGAGCTGCTCACGGAGTTTGCTGAAAAGACGCTCAGCAGCGACAGCATGAGGCCCTCTTGCAACATGACATGGGAGGTTAACGTTTGACTCTTCCTCAGGGCGATGCCTGGGAGGCCATTAAGGAGAAGCTCCATTTGCGGGCAATTGGGTTGACTTGGGATTTTGTTTTGTTCTTTATATATTTCCTCTGTGAGCCCAACAGCCAAGTCCAACTGCTCCAAGCGCGCACGGTCGACTTACTTGTTCCGTGGTGCATGGAGCATGGCATCGAGCACACCGTACGAGTGGGTCTGGGATTGAGGGAGGACACACGCCCGTCATCCGTGTGACGCGTGATGTGCCGCAGCACATGGATCCCTGACACTTCGTGGTGAGACGCAGCTGGATGGCGTGACCACTTTCCGCCAGAGGTCACTTTCCGAAGCACTTGACCAAAGTAAGAAAGGTGGGCCAGTGAGCTACTGTATTTATTGGGGGTGATTTTTCTGCGTTATGTGTAGTGAACCTTTTTTGGATTTGCTTCCTGTTGTTTTTCTTGTTTCTTACTGTTTCTTTGTGGTTGCTCCTGCTTTTTCTTGCTTTTCCTATTTTTTTTGTGCTTGCTTTGCTTTTCCTTGTTTCTTGTTTTTGGTATTGCTTGGCAACTGCACCCAACAAAGCGTGTTCATTCTTTACTCCCTTCTCGATTGTTATGACTATGATGCACTTGTTTGATGTTTGTTCGCCCTCCGGCCAAAGTTATTTTTTGCTCTATTCGGGACATAACCTGAGCTTCTGGAGTAGCAGGTTGTGCCTTGTGGTCCAGTTGGTGAGTTTTTGCACAAAAGCCCTAGACGTTCTGAAATGATCTTATGGACATGGCAAAACGCCTCCTGGACTTCCACAAACTGCTAGCTTTCCGCTTTCACTGGAGGAACTATGGAGAAACCACGACCGCAAAAACGTTTCCCAAATGCAACGCAAAAAGGGCTCAACCGGCAAGAAACTACGTAGTATATAACCCACTGCCCCAGCCCCATGGCAAGTCGATGGCAAAGTCGCTCGTCGTGAGTCAGCCTGAGGACCTTGAAGGAGGGGAAGGTGATCCCTGGCTTTGGCCATGCGGTTTTGAGGAACACCGATCCACGCTACATGCTCGAAGCTGGGCACAAAGCTGACCAACGTGCTTGCAATCCCCAAAAAATATGCAGAGAATTTCCAATGATATAGACGTTTTAAGGGGGTTCACTCTACGGTGGAGGACGGGCAGTTAGAATATGAAATTCAAATATTTCCGTTCTAAATTGATGCCCCAAACCTTCCAAAATCGATGACCCTGGGGATGACCCTTGCAGATAGAATATGGGCCTTTCAGAAAGCAGGGGAACATATTCTAACTGCCAGTCCAAAACCAGGATACCTTGCAGAGACAAAGGTAGGCCTCTAAA